CACATCAGTTCTCCTCCTTTTCCTGCCACATCAGTTCTCCTCCTTTTCCTCACTAAGGCAGACAGTACACAGTCATTACGTAGTGCTGAGCTATGGACAGCAATCAGAGAAAACACTTGCTTTGCAGAATCACTGTGGGAAATTCTTATAGTAAGGTCATCAAAGCCCTGTTGCTGCGGGATGCCCACAGAGCTGCCTTTCCATAGGAGAGAGAAAATGGTAAAGAATGCAAGCCCTCCACTGAGACAGACCTGGACACGCTACATACACCTGCTTGTCCTTAGGGAGTTTTCCTTACCCTCTCTGAGTAATTTCTTCACTTTAGTGTGCGATTAATAATGGTACCTGCCTCTTAGAACAATGCATGTAAACCATTATACTCAGTAAATAGCTGCTGAGTAGACTAATAATGCTAGCAGCAATATAGGAAGTATATCAGAGGTACAGAAATAGGCAGGAATGCAGGGTAAGACACTGTTTAATGACCATCTAACACTTGTTTAAAACAAATGGAAGATTACTTACCATTGCATGGTTGCTACTTTTCCATCATCGTGCTGACAAAGATACACGCTTCAGAAAGTTTATATTCTACTTGGGAGAGACAGGCAAGAAACAAATAAATGCAAACTGTCTTATAGCTGGTGGTTTTAAATTACATAAGGAAGGGTGCTAAAGAGAATTTGAGAATGGACTGTGATTTGAGGTAAGGATTTCAAAGATAGACACTGTTGTGAAGATTAAGATGAGTATTAAAATAACTGCAAGACCTGAAAACCTTATAACCCATGCAGCAAAAATATGTGCAAGTCTCAGCCGCACACGCCCCCTCACTTCGGACACACGTAACCCATCATTCCGGCCGTGCTCGGAAGCAGTTCTGGAAGTCCTTTTTTGTGAGTGCCTTTAGTTCCGTCATCCTGGCTGCCTCTATGTCCTAAATCATTTCAAAATGTAGACAGCACTTTCTGTGGAATAAAAATGTCGTAGCGGGTCTTCACCCCCTTTATTCACCAGGTCTGTGACTTATGGCTCCTCAAAGTCAGAATGGCCGTGAAAGGTAAACTGCTTCAGAAAGCGGCAAGAATGATAGAATAACAGTGTTTGGATGGGGGACAGTAGTGTGTGGGGGGGATTAATGGCAACGTGTCTTCACAGAACTATTTTTAAATTCAATTTAAAAATGTTAAATTCACCGTGTTTTATGATCACCCCTTGGGGGGGGATTTTCTGATGCTGAGTGTCCATGTAGATTTTGCCTTTCTGCTCTGCCTCTCCCCTTCGCATGGTAAGGTGGGCATCTCACGAGGAGGGGATCAGCTCTGAGACTTGGGATTGGGAATTGTGCCACAGCCCATACTTTCTCCAGTGACCGTTTCCTTTTTCCTGAATTAGGATCCATTGGTGGCCTCTTCTTTGCAGTTGGCATCGCCCAGTACGCTCTGTTAGGATACTTCATTCGCTCCTGGAGGACTTTGGCTGTTCTGGTTAATCTACAGGGAACAATGGTCTTTCTCTTATCTTTGTAAGTAGTTTTTCTTCTTAGGGTTTTGATTCAGTAAGTGGAAGGAATGTCTAGAGAATTCAGGTCAATGAAGAGAGTTGAAGAGAGTAGGGGGCTTCCCTGCCCTGACTCTGGGGAAGAGCTAAACTCTGCAAGCAGTGTTTCAATTCTTGGAAGCTCCTGGGAAAGGAAGTGTTGCTTAATTAATTTAGAATGCAGGTACCCTTTGTTTAAAGCAACGTGTCAGTAGACTACATTTTAGCCTTCAAAATTTTAACCTGAGCCAATTTCTTTGTAAAGCTAATGCCTACAGTTAAAAGATCATCATGCTGGATTAGACCATGGGCTAGGTGTGTGACTAGGTTGTGATACTGCAGAATCAAATATTCATACTGAACATGTAGTGACACTGTTCCATCCTACAGACAAGTCTCAGTTCTGGGACCCTATGTGTAGATTCTGGAAGAGTGTCAAAAATGAGAGGGATCCTTAGAATACAGAGACTCAAAGCAGTACGAGGATGATTCTCTGGTCAAAGCAAGGCTCCATAATAACTTCCCAAAAGGTCACACCAACTTTAGCCCATTTCACCACAAGTTCTTATGTGGCCTGTGAAAAGTTTTCCTTCCCTGAGGTTTCAGATCTTTAATTTTAATCATTAAAATCTTTGGGATAAACAAAATTTTCAACTCATGGTACCAGCATTCTTTTGTGCCATAAAGAATTTGTGACACAATTTGTGACACAAAATAAAATAGTACCTTTGGTAATATTTTAATTCAGGTAGTAGCATTTATTTAGCTTTTTAATTGAGATTTAGTGGAGATTGAACTGAAATTTGTTTTCATACTATCTTTGAAAGGAAGAACATTGTTAAGTACAGAAATGAATACAGTAGAAATAGTAGCAGTAATTTATTAGCTTATATAGTATACATTTTTGCAAGTAATAAGTGGGGGCCTGGAGTGGTGGCGCACATCTGTAATCCCAGCACTCAGGAGGCTGAGGCAGGAGGTCATTGCAAGTTCGAGACCAGCCTGGGCTACAAAGTGAGCTCAAGGCCAGCCTGAACTGCATAGCGAGACCCTGTCTCAAAAAGACAATAAAAAATAAAAAACTAAAAAAGTAGTAAGTGGTACCTAACATAGTATCTTGAGTTAATAAGCATTTATGTAAATATTAATGAATAAATGAGTTTTCTTTTCAGGTACTCAATGAGGGTCACACTTCTCCATTCAGCCTGGCTCTCTTCTCTCCTCAGCCCTGAATCATTCCGCTTTTCTTTTTCTGTGTGTGATCTGGGTTAGTTACTACTTAGTACTAGATGGACTTTCAGTTCCTCACTGGAAAATGAATTCAGGTCATGCACAATAGAAAGCAGAAGGGAAAGACAGGTGAGATTTAAATATATACTTATTCCATTAAGCTGGGAACCGAGGCTTCCCACAGACTCTGCCGAGTCGCTCCTCTCCTGCCCAGTCTGCAGCCCCTCCCAGCCCCACCGAGCTGCACGTTGTTCCCAGTGTGCACTGTGAGCTTTGCTGCTCCTGACTCTACCCGGTGCTGTGCCTGCTCTTCCATGGCCTCCTCTCCCTTTCTGCTTATTTAATTAATCCTCAGCCACCCTGGTGGCTGAACTGCCATCCTCCCCAAGCTTTTGCTGGCCACACCCCCATTACAAGTCATTCTTTCTGTAATGAATTCCTCACCAGGTAACAGGAGCCCTTTGCCTGGCCCTTGTTTTTCTGCCTCAGCTGGAGCTCCTTCTCCCTGAACCCAGAGCCCTCAAACAGCAGCAGGCTCTTTGTTCTGGAATTGTATTTTCTCCTGCACTAAAGCCACAGCCTTTCAAATAGTAGATTTTTTGTGTGCACTGGGCAGACATTTGTAATCACGTTCGTAGTTAGCCATCAGCAACATTATTTTAGAGTCATGCCTGTGTGTCTACCAGAAAGGTTTTTACCTAACTTAAAAATTCCTATTTTTACAATACTTGACTTTGAGGTTTTTTTTTTTTTTTTTTTCTGTAAACCACTGCCCTCTTAACAAAGATTTGCTACCTTTAAGGACATTCAGAGAATATCTTTAAGCAGAAGGGATGTTATGAAGTTAGCATTTTCAAAGGTAACCATGGCTCAGGTGGGCATGCTGCTCTGCAGAAGGCAGAGTGTTTAAAGGCCTACATTTTCTTTTAAAAACATATCCCACTGTTTTGTATGTATGATTTTCATGTGTCAGAGCTCACATCCCCAAACCTGCCCATGGGAAATAGGTGATCCTTTCTGTAAGTGAACTGTTGGCCTCTCAAAATGCAAAGAAATGCAAAGTCCTGAATTTGCATGATCACGATAAATCTTTTCCAAGGAAGAACCATTTAGTAGCTCAGTCAGTTTTGCAAAGCCTGAATATATTTCAAATATCATCTTCAAAGATGGTGTGCAAAGTTTTAAAATTAATATTGATGCTTACAAGCAATTCTGAAAATACAGAGAAGCTTATGAGGTGGAAGGGTTGACTTACCTTACCCAAAGGTAATGGACCATTAATTTTTGGTGTATTTTTTATTGGTTCTCTCTTACTCCTTCCAATCCTACCTAGATTTAATTTTTAATTAGCATATGTTTTCACTATATAGCACTCACAACAGTCTTCTTTCATATCCTTTTTATTTTTTTACACTTAATTGAGTAATTTAATCAGGTAGTAGCTCATGTGTGGCCCTGTACAAAGGTAGGGTCAGTTGATTAGCAGACAGAACTTTCAACAGAGTAGTGTCGTACTTTATTATTTACTTGCATGTAAGTAATGTAATCAAATGGCAATGAGGACTAAATAAAGGGATTTTTCCAGGATGTCATAGATAGCCTTTGTCCTTAGTTTTGTTGGCAATCCAATGTTGTACATAAATATTCTCTTCCTCAGTAACAAAACTCCTAGGAAAATTCCAGATTTTAGTTTGTGGTATTTGCCTCTCGGCACCTGTTACATTGCTTTGCACAAAATAGAAGCACTCAGTAAAATCGTTATTGACAGGCTAGCTGTCCATTAAGCATCCAAAGCCTGTGGTGTTTGTTGCTAATTCACTGTCCTTTTTAAAAGGCACAGGACATTCTAAAAATACCTTTAAACAGCTAATACTATTCATCCAAGTTTTATTTTAGGCCGAAAATGTCAAATTAGATGAAAGAATACTCGATGTTATATCTAGTAAACAAGGTTTCCAAGTTCCTGACATGGTTTTGTCTTTGAGAAATCCTCCAACATAGTGAAAAGACAGAAAAATAGATAACGTCTATGCCTTAGAACTGGGTGAAGATAGCAGTGACAATATTTTATGGTCATATTAGAAAATAACTTGTTTAGTGACTGGAAATTAACCTGAAAATAACTTATTTTTTAAGGTCTTTGTGGATCATGAAAAATCGTCAGGACATAATAAGGCTGATCAGATATTTTGAAGCAGTAAAAAAATAGCTGAGATGTAATAAACTTGTATTTCTATGTGTAGTCTAGAAAAAATCTCCTTCCTAAAAATTGTATCACTATATTAAAAACCCTGACTTGTTAAAAAATTGTGTTTCTGATGAGTTAAAAAAATTTACATCCTCAGAATTTAAAAAACCTGCTATCTATCTCCTCTGTATTGTACTGTGACTGACTAGGATTTAGATCTGGGTTCCTGATCTGTGCTTTATGAAGAATTTACATTATTTAGTACTACAGACTTGCCATTCAACTTAAAGGGCAACCTAAATTTTTTTAGATTTAATTAATATAAGATTATTTTATATAAAAATACATGGGAACTAGCTTTTTTATTGGTGGTTCAGAAGCATGTACTTGATTTGTGTTGATAAAGAAGGCTACCTTAAGATTGGCACATTGTGGAAAGTAGCCTTTTTTCTCTTTCTGGTTTATATTTCACTGGGAGAATTATAGCTTTAAATGTAAGATAAACCAGCTGTGGAGAAGGACTCCACATACTGAGCGGGTGATTTCTCTCCTTTCTCTGCACGAGCACCTATATGAATACACAGCCTTTAATGACATCTCTTTCAGATTCATTCCTGAATCACCTCGTTGGTTATACTCCCAGGGTCGACTGAGCGAGGCGGAAGAGGCGCTCTACCTCATTGCCAAGAGGAACCGCAAGCTTAAATGCACGTTCTCATTAACACACCCGGCCAACAGGAGCTACAGGGAGACCGGAAGTTTCTTGGATCTGTTCCGTTACCGGATCCTCTTAGGACACACTCTGATCCTGATGTTCATCTGGTGGGTATATCTGAGGGGTGGCTTGTTGATCTTCAACACAGGTTGCTAAAGCCTCTTGGTATTCTGTTCCATCTTCAGATTTATGGAGTTTTGCCTCCTGTCAGCATAAGGTTGTTTTTCCCCAAACGAGGCCCCTGTCCCTTAGCACCTGGTGACCACCTCTGCTTACACAACCCTGTTCCTTAGCAGATGATGGTGCCTGCTGGGCACGTTCACTGAGTTTGAGCAAGTAGACCTGAGGAACATGTCTTTGCTCATGAGGTACTTATAAATATTTAAGGCCTCACCCTCAAGGGGGAGCAAGAAAGAAACTGAACAGTTTCTACACAAAACTTTAGAACTGCCTACTTTCAGTTGTGGAATTAAGCAGTTCCTCAGCACATTCTAGCTGCAGTTCCCAGGGCCGCAGTTCGTGTGGCATCCGGTTCACTAACTCATCTCAGGGTAGAAATGTCATCCCTTGTGCAGATGGCATTCCAGGAGTTTGAGGCAGTGGATCCAAAGCTAGATGTCAAATCAGTGAGCAGCACTTCCTGAACTTGATTTTCTGGGTTTTTACCTTATGCCACCTGTCTCTCAAAATGCTCTCAGGGTTCATGTAAGTTGCATTCAGTGGTTCCAGATGATTCTATTTCAAGGATGAAGTATAGAAAGGGGAGAGATAGACGGATGCATTCAGTCTATGGACTGCACGTGTACATTCTGTTAAAATGCTGCAAATATTATTTGGTCCAGTTTTGGGCAGGATCATGATATGTACTGGCCTAACGGGTGGTTCTGCTGTGTTGATATGTGCAGTATTTACTATGCAGAGTGCATGGGAACCTATACTTTCATGGGAGGATAAGGGAAGGTGACTTCATCTGAAAATAGTCTTATACGTGTAAAGCTGAAAAGAGCAGTTGCTTGAGAATAAGAAACTGAGGAGATATTTGCATGTTGTGATTCTCTTTTCCTACCCACACACTGGCTTCTTCCTGTGTGATTAAGGGTCATGTCCCAACATCCTCCACAGAACCAGCACAGCGTGAGAGAATCACAGATGCATAGTCAGTGTTGAAAGAAGGGCACAAGCTCGGAAGCACAAGATTAAGAGAGCCTTTGAGAATCAGACCAGCACGGTAACATAGGAACTGCTAATTTGAAATTCTTGCTATGCAAAAGTAAATACTTACAAAGTATGTTCAGGTGCTTAGGGCTCTTTAACTGTGTTTGCATATTTCATGGACAAGCAAATCCTCTTCCCTGGAGGAAGTAACTACTTGTTGCAGATTATTTACTGTTTTTGTTTTTAAGTTTTTAATTTTTTTCCAGGTATGTTAATTTTTTCCTAGTATATCTAGATTTTGGCCTTCACAGGTTTTTTTAAAACCTAGACTTGGGGCCAATGTGCTTGTCACTGTTTATTTTATTTCTTATGTAGCCAAAGGAGCCCTTCTCAAATAAACTTCTCCCCTTGGGCTCAGAATGTTAAAACACTCAGTAGGAGAGGCAGTGTCATTCCAGATAGTCGTTCTTTTTGAAGAGGCTATAAAATCCTAAAATCTTTCCTTTGGATTTGTCATTGAAGAAAGCTTTAACTGGGGAGTAGAATTATACCTTTGTGTTTAACATCTGTTCCTTGGGTTATTTCCTATAATAGTGCCTTTTTAAATAGTTCTTTGATGCTCTAAGTATACTGTTAAATATTATGCAAGCACTTTAAATTTTGTTTGGGGCAGATAAAGGGGACTGAGGTGATTTTAACACAGTGATTGTGGATCCCAACGACCAGCTCTGCCACAAAGGCAACTTGCAGAACAGAGGCCAGCGCGGCCGCGTGCGCGCCTGTTCTTTCACTGCCAGCTGGTACCCAAATTCCCTATTGTTCTGAACTGGCTTTGTTTATTCTTGGCCTTGTTTGTCCTGCCTTGACACCATACTGACTTTGTTTAAATAGTTCTGCTTTCTTGACTGAAATTACTTCACTGGAATTGCTGGGTTTTTACAGTTACTATCAGTGCATGTTAATTATAGAGTAATAGATTTCACTGGGACATTTTCATACATGCATACAAGATATTTTGTTCGTATCCGTCCCTCCTCTTACCCTGCTTTGCCTCTCATCCTCCCTCCCCCGGTCTTCTACCTTTACTCTGATAGTCTCCTACTTTCATATTTAGGGGGGCGATTTCTATTTGAAATGCAGAATAGGCACACACACAGGTAACGATTTGGAAATACTGTAGCATTAGGTAAGAGTAAAGTCTCTCCAGCAGGTAGAAAACACTTTAAAAAATATTTTAGAACACTGCATGGATTTAAGTTTACTTAGCCTTACACCAACGTGCCTAGGAGATAGGAAAGCAACTCACGGTCACCTTGGAGGAGCGCTCTGCACCTAGATGGCGCCTGCTGCTCTGAAATGGGGTACATTAAAACATCAAGAGCTTTTCAAAGGGCCCATCCTCAGTGGATCCTCCTAGAGCAGCCTACCTCTTTGTGACCCTCGTCTTTTCTTCCCTGTTGTGAGACCTGTGCTGAGAAGTGCGTGGATCCTAGGGGGTTGGAGTGCTGGTCATTTCAGGCCTGCAGGTGACCCACGGAGGTCCAGGCTTTTCTCAGGCCACATTCTCCAGTCATCTGCTGGCTTTCTCCATGAGAGACGGATTGCAGAGTCATTCTGATAATATCACAGCAACTGCTATAAGCAAGTGTTGCATAAATTGTTGAGTTAAATAAGGTAAGAATCAGGTCTTTGTTTTCTATTCGATGCGGACATGCTTGAGAAAGCACAAACAATGTCTTTCCTTCTGCAGGGGCTGGCTATCCATTTCCCTTATATAACAGGTAGATATAAATCATTTCCAAAGCCCCATCGTGTTTTTGGTTTTTCTTAGAATAGACATTTAGATTAAGACAAAAAGCTTAGCAGGACAGTCAAGCTTACAGCTTGTAGCAGATTGCATTGTATTGAACCTGTGCTGCTTTAATCTTCTCTGGTAATTTCTTTTTTTTTTTTCCCCTGGCAATTTCTTATATGCTTTTTGTTCTTGTTGTCTTCTTGTCTTTCACCTCCTGGTCCCTCGGCCTCCAACTACAGGTTCGTGTGCAGCTTGGTGTATTATGGTCTGACGCTGAGCGCAGGTGACCTAGGTGGAAATATTTATGCCAACCTGGCCCTGTCTGGCCTCATAGAGATTCCATCCTACCCTCTCTGCATCTACTTGATTAACCAGAAATGGTGAGTTTGGATGAGTAAAGTGCACCGTGGAGAATGCACGCCTATGACACACGCACATACTCAGGAACACGGGTACCTACACATCGCTCTTTGTCCATAGGCAGTATCTGCTAATCACCGTGATGAGTAGTTTCTTTCAGACCCAATTCAGTTAGAATTCAGGTTTTTTAGTATAGTATTTCTTGACTGTCATGTGTTTCAGGTTTTATAAAGATTTCAACCCAGCATTGAAAGATGCTACCATCTGAAGGGTCTTGAGTACAGTGGTACCCCAGTTCAGGAACTTCATTTGTTCTACAGTTTTGCAAAAGATGGCCATGTTAGTGTTTCTGTGGGAAAGATGCCCACGGTCGTGTTTGTCACCCAATGCAGAGTGTGCAGACAATCAAGTTTTTACCAAATGCTTCTGTTTGTAAACCAAATTATTTGCAAACAAAAGTATTCATGAACTGAGGTACCACTATAGTCTGTGTGTAAACTGTTAGGCCCAAGAAATGGGAATATTTACTACCTGATCAACTCAGTTAATAATATGTAAAGTTCCTCTAAGCAGGAAGACAAAGAACTGAGGGGATTAAAAGAATTTTTCTACTTCTTAAGACCCATTTTGTTGAGGGGAGGAAGGCATCCTGCTTTTGCTTCTCATGGTCAATGGCACAGTTTTGAAATACCTTTTAAAAGTTATTTTACAGAGAGATCTTTTGGCTGTTTTTGAAAGATCATTTCTGTTATTTAGTCCTTGACCAACACAACTAAAAATTCTGTGTAAGCTTGAAACTGGTTGGGTTGTGCCATTTCTCATTCTTCAGAAGTTATTCTAACCCAAATCAGGCTTCCTTCAGCATTGCACTCAGTGCTGTCGTCGTGATGTTCTAGCTGAGACCATTCTGAGTGGCAGGTGTGAGCCCTGTTCACTTGGAGGCTTTAATCTCAGACAGTGCTCCCGATGCCTCTGCTGCGTCCTGCTAGTGACTGCAGCTTGCCGTCATTGACGTCCAGGACCTGGGTCAGACACCCTGCTCAGGAGTCTTGCCTCAGCATCCCCAGTTGTGCCACCTGCCCTTGCTTTGCTGCAGTAGCTTCCTGTGCACGCCTCTGCAGCCACTGCCGGTGCTGTAAGGAAGGTGCACGTAGAGTATCTGGTGTCGCATCTCTAACGCCCAGCATGGCCAGTGTCATTTGAAAACCAGTCCATATTGGCTTTAAATTAAGCGAAATAACCTGGAAAAGAAGACTCAGGACCTTCCGTGTCTCCCAGCAACTTCCACCCTAAGTGGTGATTCAAATCTTAAGGATGCTGCCTTTGGAGCCAGGCAGACCTGAATTCAAGGCTAGGTGTAGTTCCAAGTCAGTTTTATGATTTTGCCAAGTTCTGTCCCTAAACCTGTATCATGCTCATCCTCAAACCAGAGATCATAAAACTCCCCTGCCGAAATTATTATCAAAATTACGTGTAATGTTGCAGTCCCTAGCAGAGTACCTGGGGTGGAGCTGGCCCCTAGAAAGGGACACTTCTTAATGTTAATGTCTTTCTTTCCAGTCTGGAGCTCTTATTTTAAAATTACTTTTCAGCGTGCAGTACATTTCACTTCATTTTAACCCATGAACATGAAATATTTTCCCACTTGTATTTTTAAGAAAAAGGGAATTTTTAAAGTGTTTCAAGGTTTTAATTTTTTTTTTTTTTTTTTTGGTACCGGGAATTGAACTCATGACCTCACGCTTAGCAAGACGGGCACTGTGCCACTGAGCTATATCCCCAGTCCTTCAAAGTTTTAACTCAGTACATTTGAGGTAACCAGAAAGTGAAGTGGGCTGGAAGACTCTGTTCCCTTTTTCAGTTTCATTTTCTAGAAGACAGAGCATGTAATGGTGCATGCCTATGGGCTTATTATTAGGATTAAGTAAGACAGTAGGTGGAAAGTATTTAAAACAGTGACCAGAACACAATGAACACTCACGGAAAGGGAAGAGTTGTGTGCTCTGCTCCCGTGTCCATCACTTAATCCTTCCATCCAGCAAGTTCCACCTATTTAATGAAATCAAAGACATCTTAATAAGAAGGTTGGGAAGAAGGAGCAGTCTCATTCATAAGATTCTTAAGGGAAATGTGTCATTTGTTTGTATTATTTAGGTTTGGTCGGAAGCGGACCTTAGCAGCATTTCTGTGTCTAGGAGGCCTGGCTTGTCTTATTGTGATGTTTCTTCCAGAAAAGAAAGGTATGCCTTTCAAATTTCTGTGAGAGTTTTGAACAGTGCTTTTATGACAATGAATCTCAATGTAGTAGAGAGATTACCATACGCCATGCTTCACTTCTGTGATTGTATATTATTTAGCACTTGTGCGGGGCTATAATGGGCCAGGTTCTTTCCACTGCCTGAAGTATTCTCTGGGTGAATAATGTGCTTAGAGGTGTGCTATTAATTTTTGCAGGCTTTTAAGTTACCATCTGGGATAAGTGGGATGCAGTACGGTGTTGCTAGAGTTGTTTATTTGATGATGAGGACTGGTTAGTCTGCCTCAGAAAAAAACTTCATCCAAGGCTACAGAGTACACTGCTCATCCCAGCCCGTCGCCAGGCTGGAGATCAGAGATGTTGGTTCTCAAGGGTGGCTTTAGCAGCCCTCAGTATTTCCGTCCATACTCTCCAGGAACCCCGGTCACAACAGCAATAATAAGAGTAATATTCCCTGGATGGATGTGCTCTTAGTCTTGTATAAAATGTGCACAAAACATCTTCAGGAAACTTTAACATTTTTATATATTTGTAACTTTGCTCTGCAAACACAGCTTCAACAAATGACCCTTTGATCACACATCAATCTGATTACTGCTCCTGTATAGAATTTCTATAGATACTGAAGATTTTCAACTTTCTTTCCCTCTAGCACACCTGAAGCATGCCAGTTACTGAATCAGGAACTGTGGTTTTGGCAGTAGTTTTCTGTGAGGAGGAGTGGGTCATAGCATCTCTGCTCAAAGGACACATAGTAGGATAGGACCCCGGTTTGAGGGAGTGCTTTAAGATTTTGCTAGGATTCTGTTATGGAGATTGCACTCCAGGTGGGAATCAGTGTGAGGTGATTTGACATAAAGTTTTGATAACTATTGGAAATGTATGAAGAGTTCATTTCCCATGAGAACACATCGTGTATCAAGTGCTGCTCCTGGAAATTACTTCTTGAGGTTCAGTTGTGCCAGTGTCTTATTCCAGAGCCTGCAAGGCTGCCTGTTCTTATTTTGTAGCCTTCCAATATATTTACTCTCCCACTGGTCGTCTTTTGAAGTTCTGCGCCTTGAATCCAGAGTGCGGCTTGTTCAGTAGAGATCTGGCCTCATATTTTAGAGCAAGCTGGCAGTGATGGAATCATGAGAACTAGAAAGTTCAGGAAGTTCACCCGTGTACTTACCCTGTAGGCACAGCGGTACCCTTGCCAGTGCTGCTGGAAGGAAACTCCTCAGCTGCCCTGCTGGGACCGTGACAACAAAGTGCCCTGTTTGTTCGTTTGTTTGTGTGTTTGTTTTTGTCTGCAGCAAGAAGTAATGAGCATCAGACCATCCTAGTTTTGTGCTCAGAAGAATTTGTTTCATGTAAGGAATTCAGTTGTTTCTACCAACTGTCAAGTATTCTATTCATCTCATCATAGGGAAAAACTTTTCAGTACTACTATAAACACTCCTGTCACCCGTCTTACCTCCACAGGCCAAGGCAGTTCATGTCTTCCCTCCCTCCTACTTCTTTACCTACTCCAGGTAACTCACCCCTAAGACTCTGTGCATGGCCCCTGCTTGAAAGTACCTCTTACTGTAAATAACAAAACAGAAATCCCAGGTGACAGCAGATGTCTGGGCTCCCATCGAGAGCAGCGAGTGCCCCTGTGTTAAGAGAGCCGCTTGAACTCTTTTTGAGTGTGGGGACCCTGAGTGAGAAAAGGCTCTGTAGAGAATCTTTCATGCAGCATGAAGGTGCCTCAGGAATATAATACCTTTTTTACGCTCAGAAAAGGTAGACGTCCAGTCTATTTTTAAAGATTTTTCTGGGAAATAAATTTTATGATAACCCTGAGTAAATTACCTTCTATTTTTAATAACCATTACTGTAAGAATGAGCCTCGTCCACTGTAATTGAGCCCATTGCTTTCACTTGAGTCATCATTAGGCATGGAGAACAGATGGTCACTTTTTTTTCTTCTTTTTCCCCACACGTAATCCTTTCTATACTTACAGGGGGTCTTCCAGCTTTTCCTGCATTTCTCTTCTTTAAACTAAAAAATATTTGTTCTTTAACTTTCTTTAAGACATATTTGCTGTTTAAAATATTTTATTAGCTTTCTTTCAAATCTGCTTTTTAGACTGTTATAAAAGGTCTGATAATTCCCTATTAAGAAAAAGACCTCATAGCTAGAAAGGTTCTGCTAGCGTCTTGTGTGAGCTTGGAGACCACTCATTTACTCAGAGTTTTGTGGTCATTCATCTCTTTTCTCCCCCAGACACACCTGCACACTGCGTTCCCTCCTTCCCGCCAAGTCAGGTGCTCCCCTCCCGTACCGCACCCCCAGGTTTCGTATGTTTGTTTTTTCAGTATACTAGGAATTGAACCCAGAACCACTGCACTGAGCTACATGCCTAGCTCTTTTTCTTTTGCTTTGATTTTTATTATTATCTTGAGACAGGGCCTCACTGAGTCTCTTAATTGCCCGGGATGGGCTCAAACTTGCAGTTCTTTTGCTTTAGCCTCCTAGAATGCTGGGATTACAGGTGTGCAGCAGCATGCCTAACCTTGTAGTGGAAGATGCCTTCCCCCATCCCCCGCAAGCTGCTCTACTTCAGCTTGTTCGTTGCCCAGGTAATAGTTCCAGTTCCAGTTCCTGTTACTCCTGTCCCTTAGAAATGGCTGGTCACTGTGATGCATAGCTGGTCACTGTGATACATATTGTAAGAACTAATCCCCAACTGACAAGCCATTCTGCCTCTGTGTTTCCTGCTTGCTTATCCCATATAAGCCCTAGACCACCAGAGAGCAGGGCCTGATATTCTGAGAATGATCCCAATCAGTGCCCATTGACATCAATAAATCTGCCTCCAAATCCTAGGTGTCGTTTAGGTGTTTCTGCTTGCTACTGCATCCTTAGGTATCCTTTTACCCTCACTTTCTTTTTTAGCATCTATATGTTATTGTTGTTCTCTGTGTCTGAGACATTTGTGGATACTGCAGGAGAGACAGCTAGTCAGTTAGAAAATAGATTGTTTTGGCACTTTGCAGACTGTGGTTTATAATTGCAGTTGAGCAACTCTAGTCCAAAAATTCTAAATCTGAAACACTTCAAAATCTGAAACTTTCTGAGTGCTGACATGATGCCACAAGTGGAAATTTTTATAGCTGAACTTATGTGAACTTATGGGTCATAGTCAAAACACGGATGCACTAAAAATATTGGGTAAAATCCTGTGTCCTCAAAAATAAGACCTAGCTAGAAAATAATCAGCCTTGAAAACTAGAACCCGAAAATACCTGTCACAATCAGCCTATCTTTTTCCTCTTGGGCAGATGGCATTACATACCACTCCAGTTATACAAGGAAACTAAAAATCAGATTAGTCAAGCAACCCATCCAGTGTTACACAGCAAGTAAGAAGCATATTGGGGATTTAAGGTCTTTCTGACTCTGAAGTCAGTACTCTTTAGGGAGCTGTTTTTCCCTTTTAGAGTGTTTTCTCAGAACTCATTACAAATGAATTAATGCTACCTGAATAGGGCCAGTTCTTAACTCTTCAGCAGGCAGGCTTGGTGGAACTGGCCAGAGTTTAAGAGCCTGGATCGTCACAGCGGTCCTGGCCCCTCACTGATGAAGCACATGGAAATTGGTTGTGATTCACCAGAAGTCCAGAACACTGGGAAGTCCTGGCATTTGCCGGGATAAAGAAGCCTCACAGTTGAAGGACGTTCCCTAGACTCAGCCCAGAGGATCTGTGTGTCACCTTTCTTTCCTCAGCCTTGATCTGCCCATTCTTTATTCTTTTGACTTCTCTAGTATCTCATTTACAAGATTATATTCATGAAGAAGATCTACTTGCTAGCCTCAAAGAGCTTATAATCTAGTGAAGGAAATTAGTGTTCAAAGCATAACAGTAAAACACAGTGCCTATGGAGAAGTGGCCCCCCAAAAAATGCTACGGGAACTTGAACTTGAGGCCATGGTAGTAATGGAGACCAGCTACCTTCCTGTTTAAACAAGTAAAACCAGACAAAATATATGTAAGAAATGTAGATTTTCAAACATTGTATGACAGGCTGCATAGGACAGTAATTCCTGAGAGAAGAGAACTAACCAAAGTGAGATGTAAGAGTGACTTACCTCAGGGTTTCCAAGCACAGGGCAAGGAGTGGAGCATCACAAGTCCTGGTGCTCTTCCTGAATTGAGGAAGTACTTACTGAGGGTTGGGAAGGCCAAGGTGACCAGACTTTGCTGGGTAAAATACTGGAGCAGAATAGGATACCCAGAATCAGCAGTGGGAGACTGCATCTTTGGCTGTCTTTGATCTGTTCATGTATTTGAAGAAACTACTAGGCCAGAGGGAGGGCCACAAGACAGAAGCAGGCAGAGCAGTGCTTGATACCCAAGCCGTGGATACGCTCTGTTCTCTTCAGCCAGACGCTAAGCGCTTGGTAGACACCTCCTCAAAGCAGCCCTACACTAAATGCTCCTCTGTTTGCTCCGGAAGTGCCTGAAAACAAAACTCCAAAGAATCAAGTGACTCTAAGTAACTTAACTGCATCACAGAACAAAGCCTGAACAATACTTAAAGAAATACAGTAAAATCCAGAGCCTAGTATGTAATATTCACGACTTGTGGCCTCCAATAAAAATTAGCAGGTATACAAATAAGCAGGAAAGACCTTGGATAGTAAGAGAAAAATCAACAGAATCAAAATCAGAAGTGGCACAGATTATAGAGTAAGGAGACAAAATTAAAGCAGAAAGTATAATATATTTCAGATATTTAAGAAAGTAGAGGAAAGCATGATCACAATAAGCAGAGTAATTAAAGGTATAAAAAAGATATACATAAAGCATCTAGAGATAAAACATGTGAAAAATGCAGTGGATGAGGCTAAAATACAGTAGATGATACAGCAGATTAGACACTATAGAAGAATAGGCCATTGAATGTAAACATATAACAAAAACTGTTCAGAACAAAACAAAAGAAGACTGAATGAAAAATTAATAAGGAGCTGGGTGTGGTGGTGCATGCCTGTAATCCCAGTACTCGGGAGGCTGAGGCAGGAGGATTGTCACGAGTTCAAGACCAACCAGAGCTACAAGGTGAGCTCAAGGCCAGCCTAAATGGCACAGTGAGACCCTGCCTCAAAAAGACAAAAAAAAAAAAAAAAAAAAATGAACAAGGCATCAATGAGTTGTGGAACAATATTAAGGGGCCTATCGTACTGTAGTCTCAGCAGAAAGAGATAAAGAAAAACTATCTGCAGAAGTGATTGCAAAAGCTTTCCAAAAACTATAAACACATGCTAAGAAAGGAATTACTTTATCAAGTGGCTACAACAGTCCTAAATGTGTATACCTCTTTTAATAGGTTCAAAGCACATGAAATAAAAGTATGTTGTACAGAAAAAATAGACAAATCCAAAATTATAGCTAGGTTCATCAATACTGTTATCTCAGTAATGATAGAGAAAATATAAGCAGACATTTTTACAATCAACACGACCTAGTTGACTTGTAGAACAAATTACCTGTAAACTCCATTTGAAGTGCACATAGAACATTTGCTCAGAGACACCCTATTCTGGATTAAAACAAGTTTCAATAAATTTAAGAGGCTTGGGGCCTCTTAAATTTATCAAGTAAACTAAATTATTTGCCTAGAATGGATTTAAACTAGAAATTAGTAACAAAAAGAGAGCTGGGAAATCCTCACATTTTTGGATGCTAAATAACACCTTTCTAAAAACACAAGGATCAAAAGAAAATCACAAAGAAAATTAGAAAATACTTCATTTGAGCAATTACTAAAGTATGCAAATCAAAACTTAGAGAATGCCAAGTGTAGTGGTTCATGCCTGTAATTCCAGCATTCAGGAGGCTGAGGCAGGGGGATCACTGCAAGTTGGAGGTCAGCCTGGACTAACTGGCTCATTCGGTACACAGTGAGTTCAAGGCCAGCCAGAACTACAAAGCAAGACCCTGTACCAAAAAAAAAAAAAAAAAAAAAGTTTAGGGCATGCATGCAAAGCAAAACTTAAAGGAAAAATTTTTTAAAGCAGAAAAAAGTTTTCAAATAAATGATCCACCTTAAGAAAATAGAAGGCAAGTTTTAAAAAGAATGATGAATATGATCATCCTGTATACCTAAATTGTACCAATAAACATAATAAAAGATAAATTTAAAAGAATGGCAAATGAAACACAAAGCAAGCAGAAAGGTGAAAAGAATAAATATAAGAACAAAAAAATCAGTGAAATGAAAACACAAAGTCTCAAAGACATTGAGACAGATGTTCACAGGAGTATTAATTATAGCCCCAAACTCAAAGGAACCAAAATGCCCATAACGCTGATGAATGGGGAAACACATCGTTATACAGCCGTACAGTGGAATACGAACAGCAGAAAGGAATGAACTGTGACCCACTTATGCGCACAACCTGGAAACATTCCAAAACCATTACACCAAGTGAAAGAAGTCATACATAAAAGTCCATGAAGTGTATTATTTCATCCACGTGAAACCCTAGAAAGGGTGAAACTCTGGCAACAAAACTGTATTTGTACAGTATTTTCTTTCAAAAAACAGCCAAACGCAAGCAAAAGGTATTGTTGTTTTTCCAGTTCAAGCATGGTAATAGAGAACTGGGAGCCGTGGTCAATATTTTTAAACATATAAACAATCAAAATTATGCTATAGTCACCCAGAGAATGATGTGAATGGTTAATGGAATTTTTGCTATTTGGGGCCAGTGAAATAAGACTATAAAATACTAAGATAATTTGTTATGGTGGCCCCAAAGGCTCTCCAAAAATTAATTCTGCAAATTATATCTGTAGTAGATGCAATATTGGAATAAATTTATAAGGTCATTAAGTCCAGAACTTTGAAGGGTAACCTGTGTTTTGAGAGTTACCTTTTAAAAATAGATAACTTCGATTTTCTGTTCTCTTTTAAATCTTTTTTTCATGAACAGTAACTTTGAACATTCGCTGGGACTTGCCAGTAATACCTGATTTTTAGGTAAAGTACCCAGGTGAGGAATCCAGGGGACCAACAGCCCAACAGCTGCATAGGCAGGGGCTCGTGAACAGAGCTGTCTTAAACTGACCTAAGTGCTCGTGGTGGACGTGGTGACTGCAGGTCTGTTGGCAGAAACATAGGAGAGAAGTTTCAAGCAGCAGATGGGCTGTCAGAGTGTTGGGAGCATTTGCTGGGTGTGTGACCAGAGACGGGCTCCCCAAATGTTCATGGCTGGAGTGTCCTGAGCCTTACACGGGACTCTTCCAGCTTTGCATTATAGACATTTACGTGATAAAGTTTCTGTATCACATCATCTGAACTTAAATTCCAAGATGTCAGTCTTCTGTCCTGTTATTAAAGATGTTTCCATGCATTTCTGAAAAATGCCACCCCGTATGGATGGAAACCTGCCCTAAAGACTGTTCCCAGTCAAGCAGATGTGTATGCTTTGTCTTTGCTTCTGTGTCACCCTATCCTTTTTCCTGGCTCAGTTTTCTGCAAAAGAATGATGAATTTTATCTGTAGTATTACTGGTTTAAAGAAGAAGTTGCTAGGTCTCAAGGGCCCAGAAATAAATTTTGAAGTAAATGCTGAAAGTCCTGATCCTTTTTCCAGAGGACTTCATGTTTTAAAAACATGCAGTACTTTAAAAAGCTAGTGTGAAGCCGCGTGTGGTGGCGCACGCCTGTAATCCCAGCATTTAGGAGGCTGAGGTAGGAGGATCGTTGCGAGTTCAAGACCTGCCTGTGCTACAAATTGAGCTCAAGGCCAGCCTGAAATGCATAGCAAGACCCTGTCTCAAAAATACATGAAAAAAAAAAATAGCTAGTGTGTTCCTTCAAATATTCTGGCAGAAGAGGAGAAAGCAGCTCCGGGATAGGGGGGTCACACTTAGCAGTGCTTGCGTGGCTGCTTCAGGACATCATCTTAAAGTGGATGAAAATTTATTTCACACTCAAACAGGGTGAAATAGTTTTGGTATCAGGCGTGTCATATACCTCCCTCTCAAGGAGCTGAGAGCATGAACACAGATTGATTCCACCTAATTAATCCCTGTGGTAGTCCTTACACCTCTTACTTCAACAAATGTTTGCACAGTGAACCGCTGGGTGCCTAGGCCTATGGGGGATGCTGTGAGGAAAACAAATATACAAGATACCAACATTAACCTGAGCTAACTTGGAGTGTGTTTTGGGCAGACAAGCTAGAAAAGTAAGTAACCACAGAGGAGTATCTGAGACGTACCAGTTGAATGGATTAGAAAGTAGGGACACTGGAGGTTAAAGGGAGGAAAAGATACTTCACTGGAGCTATTTAATCGAGTGGTTTATATGAGCACCACAATCCTCAGAAAGGGGACAAGAGTGTTCCATGTGGCATAAATGTCAAGGAGAATGAGGGCAGTTACTTTCAATGGCTAGGGCATTGCTGTTGACCTTTAAGACTAGGAATTTTAGGAAAGGATGGTACTGGAAGTGAGATTGCTATCACGGGGCAGGTGCATTTGAGCAAACGGAATGGTTGTCACATCCTGCAGGTGTCTGATAATGGAGGAAGTACAACAGAGCCAAAAACAACTGTGGGGTTCCTTTCTTATGAGAAAATTCTTATTTTGAAGGTAGAAACACATAGATTATTAAAGGAGAAAGATTAACTCTTTTTGACAGGTAAAAATTTGTAGAACCCAGTCAGCATAATGTTAAGAAGAACAAGATAATTGATAGTATTTTTGATGAAATAAGCTGGAGTTATTTTTGCATTTTGTGTAAAAACATTACATTAAGAAGCTCAAGCAACACTGTAAATTAATGACTAAAATGAGAAGTTAGAGGAATGGTTAGAAGGTTTTTCATATTTTGTCTCTTGTTCTTTAAAGAACATCTGTGTCCTCTGGTAATAATTTCGTGAGGTTGTTCCTTACCTTCTCAGCAGCACACGGCCATAGTTTGGATCTTGAGCATCCCCAAAGGTCCCTGTGTTGAAAGCTTGGTCCCCAGCCTAGGACTCCATTAGGAGGTCGTAGACCCTGTAGAGGGTGCGGCCCAGGGGGAGGAACTTAAACCATCAGGGGCATTCCCTTGAAGGGACCCCCCACCCTTTATCTTCCTGTCTCTCTCACCTCCCCTACTGCTGTGATGTAAGAAGGTTGCTCTAAGGCACCCACTCCCCTCATGATATACTGCCTCACCACAGCAGACAGCTAGAGTCAACCATGGACTGAAACTACCAAAACCTTGAGCCAAAGTATATCTTCCCTTTCTATAACCTGATCATCTCAGGTATTTGATACAGTAATGGAAAGCTGGCTAACACAAATACCCTTGTAAACTGTAAGAGTTTTTCTGGAGCTCATCTCTGTTTTCACTGCCTGTTAGCAAGGGCTGTGCTGACCATTATTTTAGATCAGTGTTTGAAGAAAGTGAAGAAGAAAGGAAAGACAGGTACCACCCATAGTGGATGCACTTCCTTCTTTCCAGTGCAGTTTTCAGGGGCTCTCCCAGGAATGAATGCAGGTTTTATCTCACTTAATGATAACCAGTGTGTCAACTTCACGCAGACAGCCAGGACACTGAGACATGCTTACACAATATTACACATGCTTTTGCGCGTGACTACTAAACCTTCCAAATGTGTGTGCAGTTATCCCACTGCTTTGCCGTTTGAGTTCCACATGGAGGCCTGTGGCTCCTTCAGAATGAGATGTGTCGAGAGGGATTGTTCTACTTGGTCTCACAGGGGTTGTCCCGTCCTCCTCAGACACAGGTGTGTTTGCAGTGGTGAACAGCCGTTCCCTGTCCTTGCTGGGTAAGCTGACCATCAGTGCCGCCTTCAACATCGTTTACATCTACACCTCTGAGCTCTACCCAACCATCATCAGGTACGCGTCTGCCTGCATCTCCTCCTGGATTTCCTTCTGTCAGCGGGGGTGTGGTTCTCTGTCCCTCTGCTCAGGAGTCAGTGTGCAGCAAGCAGTTGTAACTCACAACCTTTCTGTATTCTGCTCTCCGCCTGTGTGACTGAGGAAACTGTAGTCTAGTAGTGAGCTAAATTCCCCTAGTGCTGTACGCTGGACGTGTCCTATCACCCAAACGGGGCTGGGTGCTGGTTTTTGATTCTTTGCAGAGCTGAGGCTCAAATCCAAGGTCCTGTGCATGCCACACAGCATTCAACCACTGAGCTGCAAACCTCAGGCCATTTTTACTTTGGTGAATTTCATTCATTTAGTCACCTACTTAGTGTTAGACTTACAGCAGACAAGGGAACAAAATCGCTTTTCTCTTTTTTTTTGTTGTTTTTGGTACTGGGAATTGAACTCATGACCTCAGGCTTGCCAAGCAAGCACTTAGGCCGCTGAGCTACATCCCCAGCCCCAAAATCCCTTTGCTCACAGAGCCTCCATTTTAGCACAATATATGCACATATTAAGTGATCATTTCCTATACTAATAGGTAAATATTAAATTTAAATATTAGTTGTTAAAGATGGTTTTAATGAAACAATCTGCCTATCTAAAAAGGAATACATTCCATCCTAAATTGCATAAAAGCAGTTTGGACGCAAACAAAAAACCCAAATTTGAAGGATTGGGGCACAGTTTAAGTTTTTGTAGAACTACCTTTGTGAAATAAGGATCACTCAAAAGGGAGCTTTTGTCTCTCTTATCTGTTCAAGAAAACTAAGGGTTCTTTTTGCCTGTTGATTTATTTATTTATTTATTTATTGTCTTTTTGAGACAAGGTCTGGCTGTGCAGTTCAGGCTGGCCTTGAGCTCACTTTATAGCCCAGGCAAGCCTTGAACTCACAGTGATCCTCCTGCCTCAGCCTCCCCAGTGCTGGCATTAGAGGCGCGGGCCAGCACTGTTAGCCTGCTTATTGATTTAAATCTCTTTCCCAGCAACAGATCACATTGTTTACCCACTTCCTCATTGTTCTTACAATCTCCGTATAAAAAACTAGTATCAGACACATCTGAGAGCAAATGGACATTGTTAACAGTTAGGCTGAGGTAACAGAGTGATGTCTTGCCACCTTATCTAGAAATCATTCCCATTTTCTCTCCTGCCCTCTTACCTCTTCCATACCTACAACCCAATAAAGGTAATGTCCTAGGTTTCCTGATGGTGAATGCACAGTCAAGTCCTACTAATATGCCTGACTTTTTAAAAGCTAATTCATTGGGCTTAAATAAATGGGCAGGCTTTTCAGATCATGAAGCCCTTCCTTCCTGTGGCTGTGTTAATAGACAGTAGATAGTAGACCTGAGACACAAAACTCTGTAAGAATATTTGATAAATACTCAAATGCTGATTTTTGCACAACCCTCTAGAGATGCACTATCCATATGATGGTTACTATGCTCAAGCGCCTATTGAAGTTTAATTAGAATTGGGTAAGTTGGAAATTCAGTTCCTCATGTTCATTTGCCACATTTCAAGTACTCAGTAGACACCTGTACCTCGTAACCCTCCATATTGGGCAGTGTGATTTTAGAACATTTCCGGCATGACCAAGAGCTCTCGTAGGCAGCGCTGTGCTACAGTTTCTTGTGCTTCCACTTGGGCATATTCTATTCTGGGCCCTTTATGCCTCTTCACGGGGTCTTTGAAAGTTCCCCTTACAACTCACTAAGTTTTATTTTACTTTTCGTTCTGCCTTTCAGGAACGTTGGGCTTGGAACTTGTTCCATGTTCTCCCGAGTTGGTGGGATTATTGCTCCCTTCGTCCCCTCACTGGTTGGTTTGTACCTCCTGGTTTTGTTTTTCATGATTCTCTGCTTCAGAAATGCTTTGTTTGAGTAGAAAAAGGTAATGAACAGGTATCTGTTAAGGTAAGCTGACACAGATGTGGACCGTATACCTTTTAGCTGAAGACACAGTACTCCATCGGGATAGACAGCCTGGGATACTTCCACACCAATGGGTCTGATTCTTTGTTTACCTGTATTAATTGGAGAGTCAGCTGATGCCAGAGAAGCAAGCCCCTTTTCTGCCCATTCAGAAGTGAACTATTAAGTGTTTATTAAGCCTCTGCCTCATGCTGGACTTCGTGAGAAGCGCTTTATACATATCACTGTACGTAACGCACGTAGTAATCACGTGAGAAATGCTACAGAAACAGATTAGACATCTTTCCCAAAGCGTACCACTGGGAAAAGAAAACGAGGGAGTACATGCCTGCGTGTGTGTCTGTTCAGATTCACTGGCATTTTCTAAGTTTTGTAGTCCAAGAAAAGGTGAGACACTAAACGACAACCCTGAAACTCTACAGTCTTAAAATGCTCACATCCTATGGAAGAACTCAGCGGCCCCAGGCAAGTCCCTCCTCGCTGTAGTCTGGGACTTCCCAGGCCACGCTTGGGGAAAGGTGACTAGCTTAGGCTGGGGTCGGTGGACCGTTTCTGTAGACAGCGCATCATTACTCAGGCAGCTTAGTTCACCATTTCCTAGTCTGGGATATCTGCGTGGCAGCTGACTCATGTTTTGAGCTGCAGTATAGTTCCTTTTCCTGAGCAGCTCTCCCCATGTCTCAGGCTCAGATTTAGGCCACAAGTGCCCTCTTATAAAAGAGCCATGTGTGCTCCATGTTTCATCTTGCAAAATGTGTGGGATCCTAGACACATATTATTAAAACTCTCCGACTTTGGGTGGCTGTCCTAGGACATGATAACCCTCGGCTCCGTGTCTCCTTTGATTACTGAGAGCTGGGAGAGTGCTGTGTTCCCCTCACTTCTGCAGCACCCGTAGTGCTGGGCAGGGCTTTCATGTAGGAGATAGAGATGAGATGATTCCGTCTTCCTTCTTCCCTGTCCTCCTCCTCGCTCTCCTGTCTCTCCCTGCTCTCTTTTTCTTTTTCTTTTTTTTAAATTTTATTTTAAAGAGAGTAGTAAATGAGAAAAAAGAGCAATAGCAACATACCCGCACCACAAACATAAACAAACCAAAGCAAGAACATTTAAAGTGATGCAGGGTTTCAAGACAAAATAATACAAATTAACAGTGGTTGTTAGATTACATACTGTTATCTTCAACTACATTGCTCAGATTATTGGATGTAAGAATGGGAGATTGTTCAAACTATTAAAGAGAATAACAGGGGCTGGGGATTTAGCTCAGCAGCAAAGTGCCTGCCTGGCAAGCGCAAGGTCGTGAGTTCGGTTCCCGGTACCGGAGAAAAACCAAAAAAAAAAAAAAAGAAAAAAAAAAAAAAAAAAAAAAAAAAAAAAAAAAAGAAGAATAACAATTATTAAATAAAACAGTAGCGATAATAGAGAGATTCACTGGACAAGATGGTAGGAATTCACCGTGGTAGTGGCATTGTACATTGTTACCTTCAAATCAGTTGCTCAGATTCTCTGCTGTCTTTTTCATTCTCACACCCCCTCCCTCCTTCTTTCTCCATCACTTTAAAAAACTAAGGAAAAGTTATTTGAAATAAAGTCCTAATCGGTACCCTCAGAATCTGGGAGGCCAAAGCAGAAGATCGTAAAGTCAGTACCTCCTGTACTGGAGTTCTAGACTTCCATTTCTCTCAGAATGGCCCCAAAGCACCATCCTGCAAGCAGGATGAACTGCAAGCAAGATGTTTCTTTCACTGTCTTGGAACCCATTTGTACTGAAAGAGCATATTAACTTGTCCTGAGAATATCTTTTGGCTCTGTGAAGCAATTGCCATTTTACCTTTATCATTTCAGTTTAAGTAGCTTACAAACTGTGTGTGTGGTAGGGTTTTTTTTTTCTTCCAGAGTTTTTATCCTTCTCATTCCTGGGCTTCTCTGTTATGGTGCCATGGTGTGTGGGATGTTTGGACAGATTCCAGCACTGAGAACTTTAACCTTGCAGAGGTCTCTCATATCCGCTGCAACTGCGAAAGGATTAAAGTTCATTGTCAGCAAATATTTTGGGGTGTCTCTCATGAGAAGAGGGTGTGGAGATCGTTGTTAGAAGCTGCTTCCTTGGAACGGGAGCTGGACACCAGGTTTCCCTGTGGATCTGCCCTGCTCAGAAACAGCTGGGCCTCAGCTCCCATATGCCCACCCCATGTGGGAGATAGCCCGATGCTTCTGCCCGCACTCCAGTGCTGCCTTTGGATTTACTCAGTCCCGTCTCTACATACTTGAAGAATCAGCCCATGATTTCCCATGGTAGTTCTCTATAGTGAAAGAAAAAGTGGTTAACAGCCTATGCTAGTGGGAAGGCACAAACTGGGTAGGAGCTGGGACAGTTCAGTCATGAGACTGTTGAGGTCATCTGATGAGGACACTCACTGACCTTGAATTTTGTTTGTTTCCATTTGCCCCTTCCCTACAGAAATATGTGCAGTGGTCTTTACCCTTCCTTGTGTTTGGAGCCACCGGCCTGACCTCAGGCCTCCTAAGTTTGTTATTGCCAGAAACCCTTAATAGCCCGTTGCTGGAGACACTTGCTGACCTTCAGGTGTACTCCTATCGGAGGCTGGGGGAGGAAGTCGTGTCTTTGCAGACCTTGGATACCCCGCAGGTATGTTGCTGTTCCTCCCATCCATTTGCAGTTTCTGCTTGGATGATGGTAGTTGTTGGAAAAAATGTTTCGGGGGGTTAGATTGAATACAATGGAAAGCAATGGTAGAAATCTAACAGCAGGTGATATTCAGAAAAATAAAAGATGACCAAAGATCCATTACATTTTGAAAACACTTAGGGGCTGCTCCTCAGGGAGGTAGATGTCACAAAAATTCATTTTTCAGTTGAACAGAGAGGTGGTAGTTTTCATCTTAGAAACGTTATGATGTTATCTCTTTTCCCATTTCAGCCTGCAGACAAGGAGCAGACTTTCGGCAGTGAGAGTGAGGAGGAAGAAGAGTTTTATGATGCAGACGAAGAGACCCAAATGATCAAGTGAGGAGCCCCAGCTCCCTGATCAGAACCAAAGGACCATCCTTTATGCCTCTGACCGAGCCAGGTTCTCCCTTGAGTCCTCAAAGAGCTGAGAAAGACAGGTTTGGTGCCAACATACACAGGTGGCACTCAGCATGGAGTGATTTTTGTTGAAGTACGAAGGAAGTTGGAGAAGAGATTTCATCAGAGAAAACATCACTACTTGAGGGACAAGTTCTTAACTTGTCCAGGATTGAAGTTCAGCTCAGAATCCTGACCTCTGGCCACGTAGCTCTGGTCCACATTCCAGGGTGGGAGCCTGATTTGTGTTCACAGATTTAATGACACTGCTTTTCTTTCCTTGTGATCTAGAAGCAGATAAGTAAAACTTATCGCCATTTTAGTGAGATTACCAAAACTGTTCGTAAAATTGAAACTTCATATCATGTGTGACATCTGTCCCCTACCACTTGCTCTTGCTCACGAGGAAATCTTGAAACACAGGTTGGTGTCAACACTTAATTTTACACTGAAGGAAGTATTCTCAGAGACCGTACGGTGTCCCAAGGCCCTCTGGTTTTACCTCAGCTGCTGGCATCAAGTCCTCAGCTGGTTCCCAACCTGCTGGTTGACTTGGAGGCTTTTCCCTTTGGTCCCAGGATGGTAGAGATTGTGTACATGTTCACATGTACATTGATTAAATTATTAATTCACACACACACAAAATTATTAATTCGCTACTAAGAACCAGAACAGTTTACTAGAGGCAGAGGTGTGGCTGTGGCCTGGTAGCTCCCTTTGACCCCTAAATCATGTGATTGCTTCAGTTCCCGATTATAAGCACCTCAGGAAAATTTCCTTCTGAGAGTCTAGTACAGCAATAACTTCAAAATCCCGCACAGTAAACAATAAAGCTTTATAAAGGTAGAGAGCGGTTAAAGGTGACGCGTTGATCACTTGGATGTTAAAAAAAAAGATGCAGTTTTTAATAAAGGGGAAAACAAATTATCTTTGGCGATTTTGGGTTTGTTTTGCTTTCAGTGCTGTACAGGAAGGGACTTGGGGAGCACAGAGAGCTTGTACTCTTGCCCTCCGTCAGCCCCTACCTGGTTAGGAAGAGTGGAAGGCACAGGCATTTCATAGGAAATACTTACTTCTTTCATTAAGTATGATTGTGAATGAATAAAAACCGTATTTAGTCTCTTAAAATCACATGCAGAAAATACGAGTTCTCCATGAAACTTGAATACTGTCTCAGAGAGGAAGTCTAAGCCAGGAGTCAGCAAGCTTGGGAAGCATTGTTTGAGGTCATTTTCCAGTGAAGAAAATGTCTGTGTTTTCAAAATCTCCATTTCTGATAAGCTCTTGGAGAAAGAGAAATTGTATGAGAGGTAAAGAGAAGGTGTCACGTGGCTGCTTCTGGAAATCTTAGGGGTGCCTCTGCTAATTGGCTCCATACACTGCTCTGTTCTCTTCTGTATTGATGTCTGGTTTGCACTACATCTATGGTACCTTGGTATTTGTTACAATATGTTTACGTCCTTTTGGCCCTTGATGATGTGATGGCTGTTCAGAAACAGGAGGCATCTCAGCTACTCCGTTTCTCCTTGCTGTGCCCAAAGTTCTGGCCCAGACACAGTAAGGACCTACGAAATATTACTGTTTTCACCACCAAGGAAATGGTGACACCCCTTCAGCTACCATTTTTTAAAATCCCACACAGATCTAACCCACATCCCAAACTGTGAAATTCTCTTTATTTTTCTCTGGAAAATGGAGATCTCTCCACCACTGGAAGAGGAAGAAAGAACTTGCAGAGACACTTAAAAGTTTTTGTTAAATGGTCAAATATTTAAAATAAAATGATGAACTAACGTATGTATAATTTTTGGTTGTGTGGAACTGTCTTTTCATAATAATAGAAATACAACCCAAAATTTGGAAACTAGAAGTTAGAAAATGGGGGCTTGGGATTTAGCTGAGCGGCACAGCGCCTGCCTGGCAAGTGCAAGGTCGTGAGTTCTATTCCCGGTTCCGGAAAACAAAAACAAAAACAAACAAAAAAAAAAAAAATAGAAGTTAGAAAATGTGTCACCTGTAGACTCAGCATAATACCGGACAACTGGTATTATGGCTTCCCTCTGTGTGAAGAGTAATTGAGAATCTGTCTCTCCTTGACATTGGGTTCCCGCTGCCTTGGGCGAGGGTTCAGCTGATTCTGTCCCTGGGTTTCTTCTTTTCCTGTCTAGGCAGTAGAATAAAGGACAGAGGAATCCACAGATGGAATATGTGTTGTTTAATAAGTCAAATGCTGATACCAGGTGTATCATTAAATTTTGTTTCTTCCAAATAGCCCGTTACCAAAGTTTAATAATTGTTATTCTTTATTACCACTGCTTTTATAAAAACATTTTTTTCCATTGATAATAACTATGGTAGAGAATGTGCACATATGCATATGTGCACTGATTAAATTATTAAAAAACTTGCCAGGTGTGGTGGTGCTCTCCTGTAGTCCCAGCATTTGGAAGGCTGACAGGAGGATCACTGCAAGTTTCGTGCAGCCTATGCTATATTGTGAGTTCAAAGCCACCCTGGACTACATAGTGAGACCCTGTCTCAAAAAAAACACAAAAAAGTAAAAATATTAAAATAAATAATTAGAAAAAGTTTAATTAGTGGTAACATACTTTGTGCAGATGACTTGTAAAAAGTATGCTGTTGGACTCTTTCATTTTATTCAGGATAAATTTCTTTTCTCTTAAAAAGCACCAGGAGAAGGTAAGACAAATAAAAAATTCCAAGGCTTCCATGATCTTATTACCAGTGCATCCAGAATCTTCGCACTGCGTGCCACTGCATGGTGTGTTGAAAGAAACTGTGTTGCAGTTTCCTGGTTTTATGAGTTAAAACCATGGCCTATTGAAAAGCTGATGGGTATACTAGAGATAGAGATACAGACAGTCGTTAACACTTAAACATGAACAAATAAACACAACAAATAAAATGAAAATTTCTGGGGTACAGCTTAAATGACTATAACCTGAACAAACATTTTTATGGTGAACATTGGTGAAGATATTTTTACTGGATGATTTATATTCTTAAAGATATATTGAAATAATTGTCATTATTTTCTTTCTTTCTTTCTTTCTTTCTTTCTTTCTTTCTTTCTTTCTTCCTTCCTTCCTTCCTTCCTTCCTTCCTTCCTTCCTTCTTTCCTTCCTTCCTTCCTTTCTTCCTTTCTTCCTTCCTTCCTTCCTTCCTTCCTTTCTTCCTTTCTTTCTTTCTTTTCTTTCTTGTCTTTTTGAGACAGGGTCTCACTATGCAGTTCAGGTTGACCTTGAGCTCACTTTGTAGCCCAGGTTGGCCTCAAACTCACAACAATCCTCCTGCCTCAGCCTCCTGAGTACTGGAATTAGAGGTGTACTCCACCACACCCAGCTAATTGTCATTATTATATCAGAATTAAAATACCACTTTTCAGTAAGACTTATTTTTCATACAGAGTTTTGATCATTGGTCCTTAAATTGTAAACATATTTGGAAAAATTAAATTTTTCTAAACTAAATGACATGCAGGTATTTCGGATTCTTATGAATTTAATAAAGAATCACAAAACATAGGCCTTTTATCTTGTTCTTACAAAATGTGTTGAGATACACATCTGTGAGATATACATCTTTGAGATATGCATCTTTGACAAATACAATACCTACTAGAAATTATAGGTGATGTGTGGGACAGTATTTAAAGCAAACTGGATATAAAAACATTTTTAGAAAGAGAAAAATGCAAAGATGATACACTGTGGGAAATCCATCAGTGTAGTACATCGAAGAAGGACCTTCTGGTTACCTCAGTAGATGCATGAATATTGTGTGACAAAATTCAAAATTTATTCACAATAAAAGCTACTGCCATGTGAAAAAAACAGGAAATTTCCTTAGCAAAGTAAAGGATGTTGAGGTAGATGTGCTGAATTAGCACACAGTAACCCTTCTTGGTACCTGAACCTTGAGACTTTCTTGATCTGGACTCGTAATTCATTTTCTTTCTTTCTCTGTCTCTATGTGTCTTTCTGTCCATATAAGTGTGTGTATATATATATATAAAACAATTGAACATGTATATATAAAACATATAAACATGTATATAAATATATAAATATGTATTATAAAATATATATAATGTGTGCATAGCTTTATGAATCAGTAGTTATTCTTGCTAAGCATACTGACAGCACAATCTGCTCCATTTTATTTTTAACGCCATTCTTTACCTACTAGGTGATTGCATGACCTATAATCCATAGTTTGAAACTTACTGTTCTGTTTTTTATTCTTGTATCACAAAAGCTTTAAACCTACAAATGTACATTTCCTTTTTTTTTGGCCTTTTTGAGACAGGGTCTCACTGTGCAGTTCAGGCTGGTCTTGAGCTCACTTTGTAGCCCAAGCTGGTCTCAAACTGGCAACAATCCCCCTGCCACAGCCTCCCGAGTGCTGGGATTACAGGCATGCACCACCACAGCCGGCTATTGTACATTTCCTGAACTGCCTTGCAGGTGGGTTTCTTGATGCAGTTTAGTTTCAGTTGGATGCGGATGAAGTTTGAAATGTGGAAGTAAGGGAGAAGCTGTTGTTTTTCTTGTTTTTTGTTTTGTTTTCTGTTGGGATTCACAGCAGAGGAGTCTTTGGTGTCTCTGTGGAAGTACTGTATTAGCAGAGATGTTGACAGGTAGGGACAATATTAATTAAAACTTTAACAAAAATTTTTTGCATGGAACTTCTAATAATAATTCTAGTATTCACATGCAGAATTAAATATTTACAAATATTAAGACTATCTTAGAAGAGCAAACAGAAGGAACAAAACTTCCCAGAGACCAAAACGTAGGAGGCTGTAGTTTTGGTCAGCAGTAGACAAGAGATCAGTAGAACAGTTCAGGCCAGAAACAGACCAAGCGCATACACAATTTGGCCTTTATAAAAGATGGCCTGATGACAGGGAAAGAAAACTATCTGATTATTTATATGGGAAAAGTTGGATTTCCATGTCTAAGAAAATAAAATTGTCTTTTTCTTTCTTTTTTTTTTTTCTTTTTTTTGTTTTTTTTTTTGAGACGGGGTCTTGTTATGCAGTGCAGGCTGACCTTGAGCTCACTTTGTAGCCCAGGCTGGTCTGGAACTCACAATGATCCTCCTGCCTCAGCCTCCCAAGTGCTGGGATTACAGGCGTGTGCCACCACGCCCAACTAAAATTGTCTTTCTTATCACCATAACAAAACAAAACAAAAACTCCAGATAGACTGAAGACTTAAATGAAAAAAGCAAACCCTTAAAACTATTAGGAAGTAATAGGAGAATGTTCTTATAGCCTTGGGAAACAAATGGATATCTCAGATAAGAAGTGCAGAATCACACATCATTTTTGAAAAAGCTATATTGACTGTATCTAACTGTAAAACCTTTTTCTGCATTCCTGGTTACACCACAGAGTTAAAGAAAAGCAGTAAATTAAGGGAAAAAAATATGTGACTCCTATGGGACAAGGGTTAATATCCAGAATATATCTTTCCTCCAAATAAAATTTTCAAAAGGCTGAGGATGTAGTCAGTGGTAGAGCACTTGCCCAGCATGTTCAAGGCCCTACATTCAATCCTCATTACTTAAAAAAAGAAAAGAACAAAACGGTGTTTGCTCTGTTAGAAAAATAGCTGCAGAACACATAGTTGGAAAATGCCAATAAAATGAACTTTTCATTAAAAAGCACTCCCAAGGGCTTTCCTTGTTTTCATAGGTAACAGGGTGTGGTATTTGTTTCCTATTGTTGCTGTAATAAATTACCAAAAACTTAGTGATTTGGACAAGATGAATTTATTCAGTGATGTTTCTAAAAGGTCAGACCACAAAACAAGAATTAAGGGGCTTATGATGCCCTCAAAATGAAGATGTCAGCAAGGCAGATTTCCAGGTTCTCCAGGGTAAGGTAAATGTCATTCTTCGCCTCACGCAGCTCCTGGGGATGTAGTGTTCCTAGGTCCTATTTGCTCTGACATCACCTAGCCTGCTGCCCACTCTGATCATGTGTCTTCCTTTTAGCCGAACCCTTGTGATGGCCTCACGCACATAGTGAAGGCCAATCTTCCCCCGGAAGATTTCACCTCCATCACATCTGCAGCGTACCTTTGGCAACGAAAAGTAGCATTCATAGGTTCTAGGGATTCCTAGTGTGGATAACTTGGGAGCCGTTTTCTATCACATGTGTCTTAAAGTGTGTAAGTAGCAGAACCTGATGAAGAGAACCTGACCTCAATCTACACTGTTAATTGAACGGAGAAATTTAATCAAGCCACACCTACACCATTGGTGATAGCCCCAAATTTGCATTTACTACTGATCTTATCACTCTACCATATTTAGCCAAGCCTGCGGTCTCCCACTCAGGTCTATTACTGCCTATTGTTAGAAAGATGAAGCTGCTTACAAAAGAATTTGAACCTAATACATGTCTTTCTTTCTAAATTTTATTTATTTATTTATTATTTATTTTTTGGTGATGGGGATTGATCTCAGTGTCTCACCCATGCTAAGCACATGCTCTACCACAGAGCTATACCCCAAACTCTTTGGTTATATATTGATTGTCAGCAGTTGCCTTATCAAAATAAGTTCTGTTTTTAACCTGTATCTTGTTATTGTCTCCTAAGACATCCTATATTTTTTCATAAGAGTACTTTCTAATTTAATAAACAGTGATGTCTATATTACTAGACCATAAGCTCTGTGAAGACAGGATGCATGCCTTTAATTCTCCCACTGTATTCTGGCCCGGACCACTGTGTCCAGCTGTGATAGCAAGCATATTTGAAGGAATTCACG